TTCTTCCGACATCTGATTTCTTTTTAAAAAATGCGTTTCTAAAGTGCATAAACTTTTGGGATTGACTGTATAGCCAATACATCCTTAAAAATCGCACGAAGGCGGGGAAGCCAATCCGTGTTAAATCGATAACGCTTCCTTGGAGACCAGACGATCAAAAAGACGGTGTGTCAAAAATATGTCGAGGATCACGCTTGATCTGTTAAGAAAGCGTTCAGAGCACAACGAGGGAGAGATCTCGACGCTCGAAGAGATCGCGCTTCATCAAGAGAACATCGAGAAGATCGAGTTGATCGATAAAGTGTGTAAACACCTGAAAATTCTGTTGCTGCAACACAATCTAATACGTAAGATCGAGAACCTTGGTAGATTGAAGAGCCTGGAATACTTGAATCTTGCGTTGAACAACATAGAAGCGATCGAGAACTTGGAAGGACTTGAGAGTTTAAAGAAATTGGATTTGACCGTGAATTTCATCGGCGATCTTCGAGGAGTCAAGAAATTAAGGTATGTACACCGAAGTCTCATCGGTAGACTCAGTTTTCTTACGTTTACTGTTGAACGTAGATGCAACGAGCACTTGGAGCAACTGTTCTTAATGGGGAACCCTTGTACGGATTACGAAGGATACAGAAAATACGTGGTCGCGTCGTTGACCCAGTTAAAAGAATTGGACGGGACGCCAATCGAGAGATCCGAACGCATAAAAGCGTTGCAGGTGTACAGCGCGGTCGAAGGGGGGGCTATCAGAGATTACGCGAGATACAGGAAAACGAGGGAAGCGGAAGTACTCGATTACCAAGAGAAAATGAAATCGGAAACACGCGAAGTAAGCCAATGTTGCGAAGGCAGTGAGAATGAAGAAGAAGAGGATGATGAAAAGTTCTGGAAACGTAAGAGCCGTCACACGCCGGAAGAGCGTATGGCAATCGCGGAGAGAGTTCTGCGAAAGCAAGAACGTAGGAATCGAGAAAAAGACAAAGGGAAGCATCAGCCTGCGTACGTGCTGAAGCTGTTCAGTCCGGAAGGCAAGCCGTACAATATGAATCAGCCGAAGGTACCATTCGCGTTGAACGAAGAAGAATATAACGATCGTATCATTTTAGAAGTAAACTTGTATAAGTACGTGATCGATAAGGCGTATGTTTCATTAGTCATAGCTGATTTCAACAGAATTACGATTTTAGGCACTTAGATACGAGTTACGTCGACGTGGACGTGCAGCCTGAATACGTTCGAGTCACTATTAAAGGAAAGGTTTTGCAATTGACTCTACCTTGCGAAGTCTCCGTGGACAGTAGCACGGCTCAGAGGAACTCGACCAACGGGAAGTTAGTAATAACGATGCCACGTTTAAAACCGATCCCCGTAGTCCAGACTCATAACGATAAAGAGAAGGCGAAAACGAAACGTGATCAGGTAGTGAAACGAGGCTCTGGAATGAACGTGCGAGAATATCTGGAAATCGGTCCGACCAGGGACGATTTAGATTTCTCAAAGATAGTCGAGTCGTCGACTAAATCGGCTGCAAATCGAGAAGAAGAGTTGGAATGCGATGACAATTTCGACGTTCCACCGCTCGAATGAAGTCAGACAGACTTTGGACAGGGAAAAGAGTGCTGATCGTTTTCAAGGTCGATGATTCTTACCTTGAACGGATCCCGAAAGTCTATATCTTTGGTTTCCTTCAGTCCTAGCGGTATCATCGGCATTGCCGGCTCCTCACTGAAAACGCGAAACCAGAATCACGGATCTGTTCACGTATTCAATTCGTCATTAAATAAATTTACCTATCAACGTTCTGATAGAGCTCGACCGAGCTGTTCAGCTCGGCGAGCTGCTCCTTCAGCAACTGCAGGTTCGAATTGACGAAGCTCAATTCCAGCGCTACTGTTTCACGCAATTTCCTGTTGGTGGTCGCTCTGAAATTAAGAAGAGAAACCCGAAGGATAAGATCGACATACCCTTGTGCTCCGGTTCAAGAGAGAGAGAGAGAGAGAGAGAGAGAGAGAGAGAGAGAGCAAAGCCAGGGTAGTTACTTGAACAGGTTCTCCGCTCCAGCTCGCAACCGTAGCTCCTTGTTGATCTCCTGATTCAGCTTGCTTCGTTTGTTCTGCAGCTTTCCCCGGCACGTAGCCACTCTGGGATCCGACCCCTGCGAAAACGATTATCAACTCTGAGCATACTAATTCCTAATTGACTCGTCGAATCCGAGGTCCGATGATAACCGGGCATGGTCCCAGGGTCTCTGACACCGTTACGACCCTGAATCCTCGTACATAAATATGTACTACTGCTTATAAAGGAGATAAGAAGATGCGTTTATCGCGAATCGGCTACAGCGGTTGCAGCGTACGTCGCGAAGCCAATCGATTCCCCCGGTGAAAGGAGAGAAACTTAAAAAGCCCTGGTGGGGAGGAGGATAACGTTCTATCTCGGCGGGCGCGGCCGCTACGTAGGCACTTAGCCAGGCATCGCAGGCAATTTTAAGGTCGTCGTGCTTCGTGCTCGATTACCGATGCCGCCGATCGGATCTTATCAGCCTCACTTCCGTGTATACCGTCGCAGTAGCCGATTCCGTTCGATTCAATCGCTAGAGGAAGAAATTGGAACGGAATCCGGAATCGCCGCGGCGCGTCGAGAAACGCGGTCGTAGACCTTGCCGCAGGCTTCAAGTTTATGTATGTACGTACAATCTCTTCTCAGCGCGAAAACTGATGCCTCGTCGAGCGAGAGAACGAGTTTAAAACCTAACGGGACTCGTATCTCGGAGTTTGGATTTTCTCAAAACGGCTAAACGAATCTCGGACACGCTTGTTCTTTACAATCTGGATAGATTCGAAGAGGAGAGCAGCGCGAACGTTCTGGTAACGTTCACATCCTGCTGTTTTGTTCGCGTGAACAGATTCCAAACACGATTGTAATTCTGCTCTCCTCTTCCGGGCGAACAGGATCAGGTAGGCGATATACGCGTCCCTCGTTTAAACGCTGACAATTCTCATTCCTACGATTCAAACGCGTTTACATTATTTTGTCAGATTCACGGTTTCGAGGAGCGTGGAGAATCGATCGTAAGCCACCGAGGGAGAAGAAATGCGCACGTCCTCGTAATGTTCCTGCAATTCGGTTGGTAGCTAGCGTTACGCGTTACGAGTTACGCGTGGTATGTATCACTCGGAGAGTTCAGCGGACCAGGCGCGCTCTACGGTCTACCGGGCCCGAGGCACGCTGTTTACTCGCCCGCGTTGAAACAGGAAATGCAGGACTCGCTCGCCCATTCCCTGTCCCCTCGTATTCTTCCTATTCGCCCACGGAAACTGCGGCATTAACAATACCATCAACGATTCCGCGGAATGTCTCTGAATAGAAAAGGTCTGTTGCGAAACAACCGTCGGATATAAAAATGGAACGCGTCAGATATAGAAACGAAGCTATTTACCTGTAATCTAAAATCCGGAAGGATCAGCATGTTTCGAATTCCTGGACGATATATTTGACAAATCGTTTTACGACCTGCTGGACCGAGAGTTCACTATCCGATAGGAACCAGTGGAAGGATCCTTTTGAAACGCGTTAATGAAGATCCTCTCGCGACGGCAGCTACCTCAAAACGATCGACACCTCTCGATCGCGTGCGCGTATAACAACGACGAACCGATGTCCCGAGGTTCCATGGTTGAAGAAACCAAAGCAAATACCACTGATCGTTCGCACTTCACACTCTCGTCTCTCGGAGAAAATACGGAGTTTACTTAACTGGACGGAGCGTTATTACGAAAGTTCTGTAAGGTACGCGCTCGATGTTTCCGCGGTGCGTTTCTTTTCTATGGGAAAGCGGAATTCCCAGAGACGACGAACGGTGTTGCGCTCGCGAAAAGGAAGGGAGCGGATCGAATGAACGAGAAAAAGAGAGAGAGAGAGAGAAATGGGTAGAGGAGTTGAATAGTGGGAGAGAAGAAAAGATCGAGTGAGAGAATTTATGGATCACCGTTGACTCGCGTTTGATCGAAGCGCAGAGGATTAACGCGCGCAACCGGGGAACCGGGCCCTCCTATTCCAGTTGACGACCCATCGCATCGGTTCTCCAGGCCCCTCGGCAAGCTCCGTTCTGAATCGGTGCTACTCGTTCGCGTCCGCTGCCCGTCGGCCGATCTCGTCCTTTCCTCGATCCCACGATGGATCATGGATCCTCCGTATATAATATGAGAGATCTGCGCGCAGACTTCTATCGCAAGTACTCGGTCGCTGCGAGGAAACGTGATTTACTCTAGCGATTCGTTCGACGTCGGATCAAAAGGTTTCATAAGTATTTCAATACATATTATCGTTTACAGAGAAAGCGATTTCAATGATTAACGTGAACCTGATTTATGTAATCGGCTGTGTAATACCCTATCAATTTCTATGATTCATGCGGTGTTTCACGCGTGACGAATTCTATACGATCGATCCGAGGAAAGAACGTTTATAAACCAGCGATACATAACGATCGGTGAGCCAACCGAGTTCAGGAAGTTCTGTACGTCAGATTTTTTTTATCCAAGGCTTTCCTCGCTCCCTCCGAGGGGAATCTCCTAATCGACATTCCTTTGGTCAATAAAAACTTCAATCCATATCAATCTTCCAGGTTTCCCAATCGCATCTATCCGGGGGATTAGGAATGTAGGAAAGCGTACGGCAGCGTCTGACGAATGGATTGAATATAAATTAACGTCGATAGGTACTTACCTGCGCGGAGTAAAATATTTCAATTACGTTTATCGTGGCGCGATATTGCGCGAGTGTGCTTCGATTCGGTTCGATTGACACGAACAAAAACAACGCGCGCGGTGCACGCGCGTGCGATAAGCCAGCACACGTCCGTAAAAACTAGAAGTGTGTGATTAATATTATAGAAGTATCGAGTTGGTATTCTGAATGAAGAAATGCATAAGTAAAAAGACGTCGTTGGTCCTAGTGTCAAAGGTTATGGGTCCTGTTTCTATTGTATACACATACATACATACATTCTAATCGTACTTACCCTGACGAAACGCGGCTTACTGACATCGTCCTCGACGATATCTCCCGACACGATGGGAACGTTCATTCTTTATCCTCTTTGCATTCTATCGTGCGACACGTTTTCACATTCAACAGAATAGCACGCGGCGAATTGTCCAACAGCTCGGCGTTCGCTCGCGCGGTCATATTTATGCGCAAAGTCGCTAGGCACTTACTCCGTTATCGGGCGAAGGTTCCTCGATAACGAAACATCGCTGGAATCAATCTCTTCATTAGTCAAACCCATACTGGCCCGAATCTTATCTACCGTTCAGCAATAATTCTGCAAACCGTGTATCGTCCCGAATATCAAAACAGGAAAACTCGGACTTCCACTGTCTCTACTATTCAACGTTCTCTATTCGAAATCGAGTACACGTTTCTTTCCTCGATAACGCTACGCGGATCGGGCGACCGGTCAGACCGTGTTCGCCGTTCGAAAGCGAGTACGCGGTTTCCTTCTCGATAAGGGGATCGGTCGCGGTACGAGCCATCAGAATATCCACTTCGAGGTTGGATCTTCGATCGAAGGTATGGATCACTCGCGCGCGGGCACACGTACGTACACTGCTTTGTACCGGTTCGACGAAACTTCCTTCGGGACGATCGGACAGAATTAAGAGGAAGTCGAGAAGGAACGGTGAATCGATGCACAGAAAACGGCGTGGCACACGTCGTACGCGCTCCGCGTCTATGATAGCTCGTGTGCTCGGCACGTCCACCTGGTATATGCGACTCTTCGACTCTATATACACGCGTGCGCGCCGGGAAAGGTGTTGGGTTCTCTCCTGTCGCATGAACACGCGCCACCGACCTCGCCTCGCCTCGGTTTGCAGATGAATTCAACGCTTCTACATATGTTTTAAAGGTGTGCGCGATGACGACGGTGTGCCTGCACACACTGTAGATACCGGAGTTAAAGGGTTTCCCTTACAATTAGTTCCACGTTCGAGTCACGCGTAAGGCAAACTACCTCGTAAATTAATTATAAGTTCGTCCATATATTATGATCGATAATCGCGAATACATTTTACGTTCGCGCGTGATTACGTTAATACGTATATGTGTACTCGCGACATACTTTGCAATCCTGATTGCGGCAACCAGTTCCCCGAACGATGCTATCGCCGTTTTAGCTAGCCATTCGGTCGAAGGTCTTTTTAAATAAAAAACACGGCCCATCGAGATGTATTCTAAATGCATGTATTCACAATATAAATACAAATGGTCTTTCTTAATGTTAGGCGTAGTTACAATATAAACAGTCGTCGAATTCGAGATTCGCGAGAAAGTAATGGTCTCTCGTTTACGTTGACGTTTCGTGTCCGTTGAAATATTTCCTTAATCGATAGGAGGAGGAGCTCCGTAACTGGATCGAGTGTAATTGCAGTTTATGTATATACATATATATATATATTTTTTTAATTGTTAAAATAATTGACAGAAGTCTTACTGTAGAAAACGACCGAGCTTGCCAATTAACTATGGCGGTTCGCTTGGTGGAAAATAAATTAATAAACGCACGATTCTCGTGCACTTCTTCGTCGTCATCGTTTTGGCACGGGCTTTGAAAGGTTTCCCGAATAAAAGCAGTCGATTTATCGAATACGCGGTTCACGCGATCGCCATCGTGCTCGGGGAGGTCAGGCTGTTGGACGACAAACGTCGAACGAAAGACAAGAAGCCGTATGTACAATACAACGTGACTCTGTACACACGCTGCGACGACACGGGCAAAACACGCCAAACCTATACAGCATATTTACATCGCAATCGTCTTTCGCAATAGCAAAATGTGCGTGTGTTCTTCTCGGACATACCCCGTGCCGGTTGAAAAACGGACCGGCAGGTTTAAAAAATTTTGGTAGAAAAATCGTAGCTAAATTAGTTTTTCGAATGTTCTCTCATCGATGGTGAACCATTCAACGTCCTTCTGTACAGAATTATGTATAAAACGTGATATTTTACAGGGGATCGTTTTACTCCAAATGGCGGCTGTTCGCAAAGGGAGGACCTCGCCAAATTACTCTCCTAATCCGCAAACTGTGTTAACAAGCATTTCGCTTTCACTGGTTCATCGTTTAGAGAACAAAAAGTACGATCCATCACAGATTCGAGTTTAGGACGGAAACAGGATTATTCCATGGATTATGCCGAGCTTAAAAGTTCTCTGCAACAATGATCATTAGAGTATTGGCATTATTATTTGGAAAGTAATCTCTCCCCGGTTGTCGCTAGAATGCCGATTTCCTACTTTCTTCTCGGCACGATCGTTCGTTTTCACGAACGTATCGGTACGCGGGAATTGCGATGACTCGAAATTATCATCGCACGCGATACGTATAAAAGATCGTCGCCGAAAGGCATCCGGATGTAATATTTATACGGTCCCGGTACTCTTTTTATTTGCACACTGGAATACTTACGTTGAAAGTTCTCTTCCCAGTAAACCAGTCCCGACTAATCCCGTACGCGATCGACTCCTATTAAGCTGTGCTCTTCTCTCTGCTGTAAAAGAGAAACATTTACGTTTCGTTTGCATTTCATACAATTTCCGTATGCATACGCTACTCTCGACTCTCCGTCGCTTCGTATCATTACGCAGCTACTAGGTACCGTCGATCTTCATTAAAATCGTTTGCCTGGTTACATCAGAAAAATTTGCTCTCGAATGAAATTCTGCATGCTGATGCGAATAATGCGGAAGGGAAACTCTTTATTAATATGAAAATTACGATAATTACATCTAATACTATCCCCGACGAGTTGTAAAAGTTCTCGTCTTCGTAAGCTCGCAATAAAATGTTCTTGTAAAACGCGGTATCACGATTAAACGAGAAATTCAGTCTTTGTCTACAGTATAAAATCAATACAAATAATCGGACATACAGTGTATAAAAAATAGCCATAAAACAGTCTTAATGTCATGTCAAGTTGCAAAGTTTAACAGATGGACGAAACACAAATAATTAAATTTTATATGCAACGAGATTTCCGTCGCTAGAGATTCAAATAGTCTACCAAAACATCCATTTCTTTTTCCGATGCTTCGCCCTTGTCGAAAGTTTCTGTCCGTTTGTAGGAACGTTGGAAATATCGTCGCATTTGTTCGTTAATATTGATAGTTGAGAAGCATCGAGATCGTTGCTCGTTCGCGATTCGAGACCCGTCGGCGGAGAGCCGTTCTTGGCCGAAGGAGATCGTACGGAGGGCTTCAAAGCCGGAAGTCTGCTGGCCGTGCGCCACAAGGAGAGATTGTTCTGATTCTCGTCCCTAGCACGAGAGATATTCTCATAATGTCTTGCACGGATCAGTCTCAAAGGACTAGCAATCGTTCTGCGGAATTTCGACGCGACGGTGTCCATGGATTTGGACGTTTCAGGAGTCGTATCGGACGCGCAAGAGGTGTTCGGTCCGCGACGAAGGGGCCCGTTCTTTATCAATGACGGAGACGGCAACGAAACGCTTTCGCTCGGTGGGCTGCCTAACCAATCGTACGATTTCCGCGTTGTCTTATAGCAGCCGAATCTCTGACGTCTCTTTTTACGTTCCCTGACAGTGCGGCGCACGATACGGCTTCTCATGTTTCTTTTGCTCACTACAACGCGACTTCCTTTAACCGGGCTAAGCTTCCGAGCTTCGCCTACTAAAATCTCTTTGTTTAAGGAAGTTGAATCCAATTCTGACTCTCGAATACGTGCCGTGGACGTATGTCTCTTCAGTTCTTCTATCACAAGCCCGAAATTCGACGTCGAAGCTAAATCAGTCATTCCTAAATTTCTAGGTGATTTCGGAGGGATGTCTTTCCTCGGGGTTTCCTCCAGTAACGATCTGTCGAAACGCATCTTCTTGGACGCGTACTCTGTCTGTATCTTTCTCTTAAACGAGCTGACTCTGGAGAGATATCTCCCTGGCCTGGGCGTTCTCGTAGCGCGATCGAGCAACACGCGTTTATAGAAATGTTGATTCTCATCGGGCGTCGTGTATTGCGTGATATCGGGTGCCGGAGAGACCGCGGCGGGATCGTGAGGTTTGGGCGACGCTCGCGCGGCTTTATTTTGATTCCGTTTAATCGCGCGTCGTTCGTCGTCGCCGAGATCGTACAATTTATCGAGGAATAATTTCTCCCTCTTGATAGCGTACGCAGTCCTATAAAACTTACCACCAGCGGCGCGTGTCTGACGTTTGCGTCGTTGATCCGGTCGACTGAACGCGGAACCAGTTTGAAGAGCCTCCATTAGACTGTCCATAACACCCTCCTGCGTTTCGTGCGCGTTCATATCGACTAGCGCTCGTTTCCGTGCCGCCCGTGCCGCTTTCTCCGCTTCGGCCTTCTCTCGCGCCTCTCTCGCTCTCCTCTGTTTCTCCTCGCTCTCCCGCAGTTTGATTATCTCCTTCTGAGCTTGCTGTAAAAATAGATGTATGAAAAGAGAAGGATAAACTAGAAAATGCACCGACTGATCAAACGGTTTAGTTTCCATCTCCATTTACCGTGAAATCATCCTTGAACGTCTTTATGTCGCCGAAGAATTCCTCGATCGTGTACTTTTGCTTGTCGAAGGAAAAGAATTCCGAGATCTCCGTATACAAGCTGTCCATGTTTTTGAACATGTTCTGCAGAACCTCGTAAGACTCTCGTGCTTTCTTCGCGAACGGCTATCAAATAATTGCGTGACGATTAAGGAAAACAATGATGACCACGCGAAAAGGAATGAACGATGACACATAATTAAACATAGTCACGTTTGTTTTTATAACGAAGTAAGAAAGGATACGCCCATAACGTCCAGAAAGTAATCCTTGTCGGACTGCGGAATTTTTGCGTTCGATATATCTTGCTCAAGGTTCCGAATGTTCGACTCCATTTGCCGCAACGTTCTCTGAACATTTTCCAAAGAGACTCGGCTCGCCCTGTCTACGTGCGCCAGCTCTTCCGAGAAATTTATGCACTCCGGAAATTGTCTTTCTATCGTGTCCACCAAATAATGCATCAGAGTCTGCTTGTTATCGATATCTTTCGTGCTGGTCAGCTAAACATTAAAATTAAAAACGGAAGTTACAAACACTTTTTACTTCGAACTTCGAGCTGATGAAAGAGAACCGACCTTGGTTAGAAAACTGATTTCAAATCCGAAAGCTTGACCGTTCTTCGAGCCGGAATTCATGTAGTTACCGAGTAGTAATATTAATTCAAGAATTCTGGCGAACTTCTTGCTGCACTTTACTTCTTCGCAAGCCGCTGTACCCGCGACTATATCCGGCTTCACGTCCTGCACCAGTTCTTCGTAATGCAGCATGAAACTTAACGATCTTAATCTCGGCAATAGCCTTTTGATGGTCGATATCTGGAGTAGAATGGACGTTTTAAAAACCCTTGATAAAATAATTAGCGAACGTCCCGGGATTTCGATTCTACTCACCGTGATGCAAAATTGTTCGGCCTCAGTTAGGTCATCGTATTGATCTTTATAGGCTTGCAATTTCGTCAGCTGATCGGCCGGCGGTAAATATTGTATCAGTCCCTGAAGTATATTATCGGAGATCACAGGCCCTTCGCACTTGAGCAAACAAGACTTCACGTCTTCGTACGACACATGTTTCAAAGTACCATTGAGAAGAATAAGAATATTCTGAGCAGTCTTTCCATCCAACACCTTCAGATCTTTCACTTTCTTCGAAGGAGTCGATCTATACAAATGCCCAAAACGTTACTTAAACAGTTGGCTCGAGTTTTGTAATAGAATTGAATTCACTTACTTATCCACGACGTCGTCAACCTTCTTTCCGCTCGGTTTCGATGCGAACTTTTGAGCCAGACCATCCAATATTTCGGGATTGGCTAATCTGTCCTCTTGCACTTTCACCCAAAACGATTTCTCGGTGAGTTTATGCGGGAGAATCTACAACATTGTACACATACGTTCCAAATAAAATCTCTACATTGAAACGAATAGATGTTTGAATAGAAGAAGAACGCGCACCGCTTTCCAATTCGCTCGTTTCAACGGCGCGTCGACTTCCCACTTCTTCTTCGGTTTTAATCCCAGAGGAAGTGGCTGTGGAATGTTCATAGCTGGCGGCATGAGACCAGGTGGCATCGGTGGTCCTCCCATGCCTGGCATCGGCGGAGGTGCCGGTCCCCGCGGCATACCAGGCATCGGCGGTGGCGGTGGTCCTCCTCCCGGAAGAGGTGGCGGCATAGGTGGACGAGGACCACCCATACCTGGTGGCGGCGGCGGCGGCGGTGGCATTCCGCCTGGTGGCGGTGGCGGTGGCGGAGGAGCCGCTTTATCACCCATCGATATTTTCTAAGTCACGAATGCTCGGATTAATTTTAAATTCTACCACCGACAGGAACGAACTGAACAAATTTTGCGAGAAAGCTACCGTATTACTAGTCGTCGTTCTAGCCCCTCCTTGCTCCAGCTCCCTGATCTTGTTCTCCGCGTGTTGCAGCTTCGCTTCCGTCTCTTGCTTACTCGCGATCGCTTCTTCCAATTTCTGCGACACCTCGACTAGACGTCTCTCCTCCTCCACTCGCGACTTCTCTACCAGCGTGTCGATCAGCGGTTGAACATCGATTTGAAAGCGCTTGGTCGCGCTGAAATCTGGATCACAGCCTGATCGATGCAACACTATTTGCGACACGCATTCCTCTATCAGTTTATAATACGCTGGCCTACAGAAACAACGAAAAATTATATCGACACGCCGATTTCATTATCGGCGACGTGATATCTTCTCTCCTCATACCTCACCAAAGCATCGTCCCTGACGAACAACAGATGCTGAAGTATCGACAAGAAATACGGTTCGGCAGACGTTTCCATCACCATGTTCTTAATCACTTCGAAACAATCGTTCACATCGTCCAGCTCTAATCTGACGTGATCGAATCTCTGCACGAACTCTTCGTAATCCTCCTCTTTGTGTTCATTGAAGATCTTCAAATGCCTAGCCAGATCTTCCGAGTCGTCTTTCTCCAACGTTTCCAAAATATTCGACAGCCCGACTCGCATAATTTCGTTTCGCAGATGCAATCTAAAGTCTAGTTCCTCCGCCGAGGAGATTATGGAATTGATGAGTTGAAGGCACTCCACCTGTTCGAACGTAATCGTGTGCATTCAAATAATCGCCGCGAAACAAAGGAGGGAAGATGAACGGGGACGTACCCTTAGGTTCTCGTTCTTCTTATTCATTAAGCCCTGTACAATCGGTAAAAATCTTTCGCTCCCTTTAAATTCGCCGTTCATAGTGATCGCGTCCAGAACTTTTTTATGGCTGTCGCTGGAAATAAGGCAAACGGCACCGAGCAACTTCACGGCCTCCGACATCACCGATGGCTTGGTCGGTTCCAAAGATCTGGCAACGATCGTCAGCGCCTCGTGATGCGCCAACATCTCTTTTATGCCGACGGTGTTATTCATAATGGCCTTCAAACATCGGATGCATTCGTATTGTATACGCTCGTATCGGTTGTCACTGTCACAAGATACAAGAGTATCGGTTTAATCGTTTGAAACCATGACACGGCAGACAGAGTGAAAATCAAAATTCGGGACAGTCGTTCAGCCGATCGAAAGGAAAGTTCCATTTAGACTTTCGATCAGCTGACCAGGGATCTATTACAGGGAGGCATCGTACAGGCAGATCAACATGCAACAGACTAACGTGTCGATATTATGCAGTCCGTTGTTTAACGCTACTCTCTGCTTCTTTATTTAAGCGCTAAAACTGTTTGCGAAGCAAACGTTTCATTGATAAGGAAACGATATTTAATTCGGCGACACCGAATATCTCTTAGGTACTTCGCGTATAAGAAATACACAAGCGTGCACCCACGTTAAATGAGAAGCTAAGAGCGAAAAAAAATAGACGGTACGAAAATTACTAGTTAAAAAAAAATGAAGAAGCAAGTAGTATTTTATACGAGAATTACCTATCGTAATATATGAAGGCACTGGAATAGAACAACATGAACATTAGAAACACTTAATGAACACAATGCACATCGAATACCGATGCCGTGACACTCACGCAACAATTTTCTCTCTACATCAGGGCTATACTTACTTCCGATAGCATTCGTTGAGCGTGGCTAAAACCTGTTTCAAGCCCTTCGTGCCGAATTCTTGGACCCAGCTCAGGGGATTGTTCGTCAGCGCTATTCTTAATGACTCGACGCAGTTGTAGATCTTGTTAACGCTCAAGTCGAGTTGCGCCAGATATTGTATATAATCCGCCGGCTTGTCGAACTTCGACCTGTTCTCCTGTATACTACCTTTGTAATGCAGCACGAGCATCTCCTTTTTCTTCGCCTCCGACTGCTGCCTCAGAGGCTCTTTCTTCTCCTCGGTAAGATTCATATTGGCCTGTTCGTCAACAACGAAATTTGATTATCTCTTCTATCAAAATCCACGATATCGAGAGAACGATATCTATCTGATCCGATTATTAGAAAGAGCTACTCACCAGCATTTCCTCGAACTTGTCGTTCACCATGTCCTTGTCCATCCTCTCGATTATACAACGTTGCTGTTCGATCTCGTTGAAATCATCGCCGGAGTGAGGCCGGGGTATCGTGTTGTTTCCCGAACCACTTCTGACCCCACCTCCACGCCCGGATTTTTTTGGCCGGCCGAACCATGTGTCCAGCTGATGTCAGAAGAGAATAAAAGTAAAATATAATCGCTCGAAAATCGGAGCGACGATTTTTTCATTAGTCGCTACTCCTTCCGATTCTACCGGACGCGCTCTAACGCGGAAGTGCCGTACGCGTGACGAATTCGCAGACACCAATTTATAACTCAGTCACATAGTGTCTTTCGCTAACTACTCGACGTTAAAAAGTCTTACCCAATCTGTCATCATCGGTAAGAAAATTGAAAGCAACTGCGACGACGACTCATTTAACTATCCCTCAACGAAACAAATCTCCTAGCCGTTGTTTAAATCGATTAAAAAAAAAGTCACGCTTTCTCTCGGTTTTCCGTTTCCCGCGTTTCGGTTTAGCGCGTGCAAACGCGCGTTCGCTTTGGGCACCGACTGACCCGCGGAGTGAAACGTTTCCTTGCTAACGAGGAGGTAGGATCGAGGTAACGGGAACACCAACGCGAGTCATCGAACGATCCGGAGGAAGGGATGACGATGATCGAGATCGCGCGTTGGCTCAGCCACGAAATCGCCGAAAGAAACGCATATGCATAAAACAGCGCCTAATCTAATCTACCCACGTTCAAATAACGTGTATAAGTTGATCTTCTAGATATTTCAAAGTATTCATCCAGCGAGATAGAAGATGTTGTTTCTCTGATCTTTGCTCATTACGAATATCTTCGGTTCCTTGTCTTCTCTAGCTTTGAGAGATACTTGGAGAACTTATCGTTGACATAAGTTCTCTATCAACTATTATGTATATGTTTTACTTTTTGTAATCGGCCCCCACTCTAACGCTCGCTTGTACTCCCAAGCGTCTTTGCGATGCGATACGATTAAGTAATTACTTGCTAGTCGTGTATCGATAATCAGCACGAAGAGACTCAGTCACGGTGACTCATATTCCACATTTCTCACGTCACGAGTCCTGCTCGTTCGAACGGGCACACGTCACGGCTGTGAATAGCCCAAGGTTTCGGCGATTCGTATAAAAATATTGTCACGAGACGATCCAGACTCCGTTCTTATCATGCAATAAAATTGCAGGCCCGTTCTCGGAACAATTGTGTTTTCGATATGTGAAGATTAGCAACGTGATCGATCGGACGTGATCTTTGATCGTTGCGAAACGAGAGATCTCCGCCGATTCTTGTGCGTGTTTTTCGGTAGAGGCGACGATCGGGAAAACGATAATGTTTAAACGCCGATTAAGGACGATGTCAGAGGAATGATGTGCGCGTAGTGATGAGATCAGTTGTGTGAACGGTCGATGATGTAATTCGCTACAGCTGGACGCTTTCCTATCCTCTTTACCCAATTGTGCTTAATTCCATTCGTCAATGTATGAAAAAAAAACTCCTGTCCTCGTCCTTCGTGTGCTTTATCGCTGCTCGCGCATTACGCTTGCTAAAAGCAGTAAAAACTATTTACGCGTTTCGTGCACTACGAGAAAGGTGCATAGTTATAATCGATGAAAAAAAGTCGCAACGCGGAAAGAATTCGGTAATATAATTTGTGGAATGCGACGAGGAGAGAGAGAGACCGGTTCCCGATCAGGAAATTCCTTCGAACCGCGTAGGAAAGATATCAATTTCTGAAATCGAAAAGAATCAAGAGAAACGTGCAGCGTCGGGCTAAATTGTTGTGTCCGCGACAGCTCGTTGCCTTGTCCTTATATTTTATGTGTCAAGACCTCTCCGTGCGCAAGCAGTTCGTCTTGAACGATTTTTCGCGAGTCACACGGACGGTACATTGTTTCAGATACCGACGTTTTCCACAATCCGATCATAGCCAGCAATGTCACACACGATACGTACTTATTTGGTATAGGAAAAAAAAAAACAAGTTTACCTTTCCTTGTAAGCAACACCACATAAGTACCATGCTAACACACGTTGCTACCAATTAAAGGTCTATTCCTACTAACGTTATCGCGTTGCGCCACGGAAATACTGATAACTGCTCGCCAGGAACTGCAATGTACGTACATGCATACACGTGCATTTTCTGCACGTACATTTATATTATATCTTTATCTTCAACAAACAGAGTTAATATCAAAAATCGGTGTTTGTACATTTAGAGAAATGAGCGAATAACATGGGACACGTGGAACCGAAAATATGCTGATTTAACTACCTGCTCCTCTCGTATTCGCATAGTTTAACAGCTGCTCGATTTAAATATTTAACTATTAATAATACTTACGAAGCCCACTGAATTTGATTTGTCCTTTCTATTGGCCATGGCTGAATCTCCACCGACTGTTACCTTCCGTTATACATGTTTCTCTTCTACAAAAATAATAAAAGTTTTGTCTAAACATACGTGTATACGTAATTGCGAACGTTTTAAGTTTCCAGTAATAATAGATTACGTCGTATCATATCAGAGTTAAACTGTACGTATATTTCTAAATGCACAGAAATGTAACAGGTGGTTCCAGAACGAACTGTTCTGGGAAACTTTTAATACAAGCCTTATAAATATTCATTATGTATCAATGTGTATTCGTTTCGTGGGAACAGCGTCTTAAACGTGAGACGTCCACAAATAATAATTGTAATATTTATTGTGAAACACTTAAAAGAAAACTCGTGTTATACTATCATATTGCAATGATAAGGAGTTTATATATATTTTCAATACTGATTTCAGTTGTGATAAACTGTTGAAAGGAAGACCTGAAATACAATATTATCAAATATAGCTTAACTTGTTGTTAGAACGATGCATTGGGAGATAGTAGATGAATCTTTGGTTTTCATAATTTAAATAGAAACAGGCTTCTCTCGTTTTTAGTAGAGGTTTGGAATTAAATGCAATTCTTAAATCGAACCTCTAGGACTTTATTAAATGGTGCAGGCAGGCAAGGACGTAACTTGTAAATCTGCCTAATCATATAATTTTGCTTGTTCTTATGACAAAATCAGAATCCAATAAACAGGATAGGAATAAGAATACTAGGGATAGGATGAGTATGAATTAGTAACAGAGGTCAAGCTGAATAAGAATGTTTCCCTTCAAATAGATTTAGGATATTTGCCACGAGTGAACTAAGCATGTCAATAGTGATAAATTAGTTCATCACCCAACATTTTTTATGAACTTTAACATATCACCTACTTGATTTGATTTGACCTAAAATTGTATCCTCCAAGATGCAGTTGTAGTGTGTACGGATCCAGCGTTAGTTCGTGATCCCGCGATGAACAATTACTATGTTAAACTAATCGGTGATAGAATTGAATAGTTCACCGGTGATAGAACGAGCACTGGGTACTAGCGGTTTCTTAAGCAAGGTGAAACGACCTTTCCATAGAAAAATATTCATTTCATCCGTTATGACAACGAAACACCTGCCAGTACAAAATAATCTCCTACGAAGAGCGATTGCCTGGCTTCCGGAACGAACTTTATACACTCAGCAACGCGAACGGCCGATCGTTTAATAAAACACTGATACCGAATCACATAAACCGTGGAAAATAAACCGTAACATCGATTAATTAATATATTCGTTAAAACGGAACAACCGTACTACACGTATAATACAATCTACAATGAGTAGCAGCACGCGAGGAAACGTTGCTCGGACATCAGCGCCAAGAAACGAGTCGCCAGCGAATGCCATTCGTTCCTTATAAACGGACGCATCGATATTACAGAAATTTGTCACGAGGAAACGATTTTGAAATTCGACAAATCGGTCTCCACGCCAAATTTGTATACTAACTTAAATAGATCACCGAGGAGAGATTACTCTTTCATCAGAGCATTCGTGGGAGCACGAAATAACGCACTATACACATTGATGAATAGATCCTTTCTAAACACGTCTCAAATGTCTATCCGGCGACTGGCGAACAGACGCCACGGCACCTAGAGATCTCTGGTATTACGGCAGATGGTTTACTGGTTTGCTCTATTATCGAAGAACCTTCATGCGAACACGTTTTATCAAAGTATCTGCACTAAATGTTTCACGGAATTAGGCGTTAAAAGAGGCTTGTGGACTTATCACTATCACGCGTGAACAGTTCTGCAGTAGTCTGGTAAATGCACGTGGTAATCGTATGATGTGAAATCGTAACAATATATTGAAGTTCACTATTTACTGTACAATTTTGTACAACAATGACCGGCAATAAAGATGAAACTGCTAAGGAACAGCCTAGTCCGAAAGCAAATGAAAAGACAGATGCTAATAACGACGCAGATTATTCGGATCTGTATCCCGGTAGGAGAGACAGCCCAACTCAAAACTGGTTTAGGAAAATAGTATTTGCTGAACAACAAGAACAGCTACAGAAAACGAGATGTGAAGTTAACGTCGTAGACTGTATTCAAAATAGTGAGTGATCCATTAGTTTAGTAAGAAAGTAATTTCGGTTTTTGGAAATCCATAGCTAAATTCTCCCTAACTCAATATATATTCTTCTATTCTTAAGAACTGTAATGAAAACCTGTAAACAACAAACAACCTGTATGTTTCAGGTCCTCTAGTCAAGTTGATGATGGCTGCATTAAAAAGTTCGGGATGGTACATATATTTAATTACTCAGTCTAATTTCTCTTTTTTTTTATTACTTTTTAATGGTAGAATACTGAAATCATTTATAAGTACTGTAATACAAATCTTATATTGGAATGATATACGTAAAAGACTTCTTATTTTCTGGTAATTATAACTTGTTCATTTTCTTATAGCGAAGTCGATATTGGACGACACATTTCGTGCGAGGTTTGTGATAAAGTAGTCACTGGTGGTTACGATCCACAACTAAATCAGGTAATTCCCTTCAGAGAGACTCACTCTGTATACAAAGATTCACATTTTCTCTTTATTATGTATAATAAACCATGAATTATTTATTTTTACCAGATAATAGTTTGCCAAAATACTGCTCGCACGAAGAACAGAGTCCAGAGCACCTTGAGTCATGAGATGATTCACATGTTCGATTATTGTCAGAATAAATTAGATCTGAACAACATAGATCACTTGGCGTGTACGGAGATCAGAGCAGCTAGCCTTTGCCATTGTAGTTACTTTATGGCACTTTCAAGGAACGTCGCTTCGCCAATTAGAATTGCGAGAACCCACCGAGTACGCGTCGTTTATTATTGCTAGACACTGGATTTTATGCATTTACTTACATGATAAAAATCCTTAGTCTAATTATTACATAAGGAAATTCAATTAGATTAATTTATATGGGATAAAATCATTGTTTGATGTTATCAGGATTGCGTGATAGATAAGGCAGTAAGGTCGATAGTCGCAGTGAAAGATGTGACTAAGGACGAGGCGTTAACAGCCGTGTTGCGGGTATTCGAAAGGTGTTACAACGATTTGGAACCGGTCGGAAGGCGGATTCGGAGAAATTCTCACGATATGGAGAAAGCATATCTCGAGGGACCTTTGTACGGATATACAGAATAAAATATCCTACTTAGAAAATTTAATTGAATTTGTAGATTAACATAAAGTAAAATAAAGTAAAATAAAATTTGTATAAAATTGCAATCGTCCCCCTAAAACCATCCGTTTGGAAGTTATTGGCGAAAAACAGAAAAACTGTTTTTTGCAAATAACTCGGTAACTATTGATGCTAGCGAGAAACTTTTATATAGAGATTGTAGGTCTCATCATCCCCTACAAAATGAGCCTACATACGCCCCCCTAAGACCACCCGTTTGGAAGTTATTGGCAAAAAACAGAAAAAAGTTTTTTGCAAATAACTCGTTAACTATTGGCACTAGCGAATTCCTTTTGCACAGAAATTATAGATCTCGTCGCCCCCTACAAAATGAGCCTAAATACGCCCCCCTACGTCCATCCGTTCGGGAGTTATTGACGAAAAACGAAAATTGCAGAAATATCGCCGTACATATCGGAGTCAAGCATGGTTCGCAGCCGTGAACGCTAGATGGCGCGACGATGAACTCCAAATTCATCGGAGCCAAGCACTTTCGCGGCCATTAACGCTAGATGGCGCCACGAGCCATTTTTATTGATGTAAAATATTTTTACAAAAACGATCGTCACTCGTTGTATAATATAGAAGGGATAATACGAATATTATTAACAATTATTAACAGTAATAACAAAATCTGTGAGCATTAAGTAATTAATTATGTATTACATAATTTTATTTTACAGTAACCATTTTCAGCAATTATCATAGAAGATATAAGATTCTTACATGTTTGGCATACAAAAGAACACACTTCTCAGTTTGCGTAACAATTTCTCGATATTGTCTTATAATTAGATAGAAATCAACAGAAAAAGAAGTTAATGAGTAGAAATTGTTACGTGAATAGAAATTGGGACGTTTATAAATCTCTAAACAATATATACGAAGTATTGCAGTCAAAAACAAACGGCGAATATAGATTGTAATTAATTAATGTTAACAAACTCTAAAAAGAAATTAAAATGATAATGACGATGATGTTGTCTGTACAATTTTTATATGCTGTGATACGACTAAACTATTTATTATACAATAACAGAAAATGCACCTTACTTAATACTTATCCTATAAACGATGCAGTGTACGAAATTACTGATACGCGTTGATTAATAAATTGACATTACACGTATCGTCGCTTCAAATTTGCTATAAATACAAGAATAAAATAACGATGAGCAGCATGGAAACTTTGTACAAGATGTATATAAAAATACATAATACTCTTAACAATAATAATATTTCAAGCTAGAATATTCAATTAGTAAAATGAAATTTAATTTAAATTCCATCTTTTTTTTTTAAATCTATTATAAGTAATTACGATCTCGCGCAAATTTTCAATTGCATCTGTAGTTGCATTGCTTAAATCAAAGTAAAAAGATTAACGTCGTTAACATTTAGTTTCTAATTTTATGGGGCTTAATTCCTAAGTGCTGTAAATGTCGTAGCCCGTAGAAACGTTTTTCAAAAAGCATAGAAAAATATCGCATAAATATGCCGTCAATAGACTCTGTGCTACACAAGAAATTTTTTTCTATATCCACTAATCATGTTAATAGAAATGAAAAAATAAGATCCAGATAAATTTGTATAGTACACTTACTATGTTCCGAAGATGCGAGGTCCTGCACGGACGAATGAAAATCCACAGTCTATATCTAATATCAGCAGAAATCTCGCGTAAAATAATAAATATCCAGAGTTGATAATTAATCTAGGGCGAGGTGGACACGCGTGTCGTTAGCCGCCAGCTTCACCAGCGTTTTTTTAACTCGGAGAATCGGTAATCGGGCTGCTGGTTTCCCGTGCCAGCACTCCTTCATCAGTTTACCCAGACCAGCCAGCGTCTTAAAAAGAATATCAGATACTTATAATCAATAGCATAAACGATGCAGCTGATAAAAAATAAATACTAACCGGGTCGGAGTGCCACCTGTTTGGAAGCGGTGGCCTGTGTTGATCCATACACACCAATTTCTTCATCTCCTCAACAGACGGATCTTGATTAGCGCTGACCCATTCTGAATAAGGTGCCGCGTAGTCTAACGCAACTCCGTTGCTTATACATCTGCGACACACCTCCCACATTATTAGGCCCAAGCTGTAGATATCCGCACGGCGAAAGTTTTCTAGGCACTCGGCGTTTATCCTACAAATGTTGCAGATTAAATTTCTAATTATTTTTGTTTGGATAATCAGAAGGTAGCAGTCGTAAAAATTAGGCTTCTTACGAGCTTCTTTAAACTTTAATTACTGTGTGATCCAATTTGGTTTGGGTGTCTGATAGTTTCACGTTGTATTAAAAAAAGGATGGTACTCACGTTTGCTCCAGTATTTCTGGACTCATATACCTCCTACTTCCCACCCTTACTTCCACTTTATCACTGCTCAGCCTCTCTTGCGTCACCGCTAACGCGAAATCCGCGATCACGCAAGTCCCATTATTCTTAACCAACACGTTCTTCGATTTCAAATTTCTGTGGGCCATAGCCGGTTTCCCCTTCGTCCCATTGATTTCCGTATGCAAATAAAGCAAACCATTAACGATGCTCAGACACACGTTCAAAGTCTGATGATGCATCAGGGAGTGAGTCCGGTTTAAGTAGTTGAAGAGCGAGCCGATCGGATGGAAGTGAGTAACTAGCCACAGCTGGGTGCACGAGGCCCGGCTGGTCATATCACTGCCCACGTAGCCGAGGATGTTGTCGTGACGAGATAACAACTGTGAGTAGACCTCGGTCTCTCGGGCCCAAGCGGACTCGTCGCGAGAGAAGTAAATCTTCACGGCTACGTTCTCCCCGTGCCATATACCCCGCCACACCTCTCCGCAGAAACCACCATTACTGCCTAAACATTCTACTAACGATATTTGCTTAGCCAGTGTACGCTGTACCAGAAGGGGCAGACCGGAACCGGAACCACTTGTTAAACTACGTCCGTCCAGGTATTCCTAAGAGCGTACTTATTGTAATATGTAGATTCTATGTATTTATATATAAATCGTATTGGCAATTGCATAGCTTAGTTGGTAAAGCGTTCGGTTGATTCTTTTTCTCTTATACAATATGAATACCTTTAATGTACTATCCCCAGCCGCTGTCGCCTTTAACTCGTGCGAATTACTCGAATTCGGTGAAGAGAACGAGAAGTGCAATATAGAAGGTTCCATCTCTGAATCCATTACTAGTTTGCTACGTCTCGCTGCCATGTTTCGTTTTCTCCTCGTTCTGTACACCATTAAATAAAATATCACTAATCCCGCGATTATGCAAATCCCGATGATGGGACCGAGAATGCACAGTATCAATTTAAGCGCATAATTTTCTTCCACGACATCTGTAAAAAAAACGATGCAATTTTTATCAACTTGGAATTGTAGTTACAGCGGCTTAAAGCAATCCCTTTATACAAATTTCATCCTCATATATATTATCGTGTACATATTCTATATTAAAACGTGTACCTTTGCTAAGGGTGTCCAAAATCGGGAATGGACCTCCATTACAAAGATCTGTTTGGCAACATTCAACAAAATATTGCACTCCCATCGATTCCTTCGCATGTCGTTTCTTATAATTATGACTACTGATGGACTCGACAAGTTTCGGCGGTAATTGTTTGTTGCAAATGAGCAACATTTGATCAACAGAGGCGGTGCATCCTCGGCTCACACTCTCAGTGCCATCCGATTGCCTCACTCTACTTTTCCAACACTATAAAGAAATAATTATATCTTTAATATTCGGATACCCTTCAAAATAGAATAATTTTTTTAACATTGGATAATTCAAATTCCATCATTTTTAAATTTATTATATAGCAATTATAATCTTGCACAAATTTCACATACTTTTACTTGCACCTGCAGTTGCACTGCATTTTTTGTCAAGTAAATATTAACATTGTCAATGCTCAGTTTCTGTATAATAATTACAGCTTAAACAACAATGGTTGTAAGATTATTTGTTTGAACGCATAAAAAAAATATTAAATATGTATTTTCGAATTGTCAACCTTTATACAAGGTACCAAACAAAGAGTGCTTACTTAGTAAAACAGATTGTTCGATTGACAACGGAGTAATTGCTCACCTGGACAAGATTCTACTGTTAATAACAATAAATAACCAATGAATATGAAATTGTTTGCCATATTGCTATAACCTGAGAGAAAATGAGAGTCAATGAGAGTGTTCACGCCCGGGTTTTACGTGTTCTCCATACAAGTGCTGCCATTGCTGCTCCCAGCTTTTTCTTGCAGGAATCTTCTCAGGCTTAGAAGCGAGCGATTTGGACATTCGCTGTTAGAGGCGGTAGTTTATGGTCATCAAAAATCGATTTGAATTAGATCGGATCTATGAATCAGATTCATTGGCAATGTTCCTAACGATCTCTGATTCCAGTCTAAATCCCAGTCTCAGGTATATATATTATAGAGCTTGCATATACAGAGTATCTAAAAGACATGCCTACACACTTTAAATAATCATAAAGTCGGAGGTAATTAAAATATATTTCATTTTCAGTAGAAATAAGATAGAATAATTGATTAGAAATTCTTAGTTCTTTGACGTCAGACAATTACAAGAAGGGATACTTCTTCGCTCGTTATATTCTCCTATTACGAAGTCTAATTTTCGAGAAAAATCAGAAATCCTTGGTATTGTGACATCAAAAAATTCTTAGAAATTACATCATCACCAGAGGGATTCGTTGTCTACTATGCTTTCATATCCTCTTGTGACAAAGTCCAAAAACTCGAAGTTTTTATAGAATTTCATTGACTTTGTAATAGGAGAATATTATAATAAGTGTATTTAGTATTCTTATTTCCAGAAAAGATCAGGTACGAGTAGTCTTATCCAGTACTATCGCAAAAGGTGACCTAAATTGACGTATTTTAAATTGTAATTTCTTACACTTTAGCATAACAATACCAATGATAATAAGAATAATAACTTGAGTCAAAGTGCGAGAAGTAAATGCACATTTTTGCATATTTACAAAGATACGGCCTGTCTGATATTTAAAATTCATAAAAGTAGATATCTCTAGAGGAAAGAAGACCTATATATTAACCGTAACGCGAGGGGTTGCCGAGCTTTTTTAATTGTCACAGTTGATACGGCGGACGCAGCATGCGCGTCCGCGCGACCTGCGCGCAGGCTCGTTGGCATACCTCGATCGGAAAGGCGAGGCACGACAGGATAAAACGGAACGAAGTGGGTGCTGCTAAATATAATACGCGGAGGCACGCGACTCTTTTACGGCCGGGGACCACGGAATGGTCATCAACTTCCGAAACCGCGAGCATCGTTCTCCGCAGTGACCGCGTCAATATTTTCACGTACTCGCGAACTAATCGGAGCCGAGTGAACAAACGCGAACCATCGGATGTGTACCTACTCGTGTGCAACCGGTTTCCTAGATATCGTGCTGTGATTCTTCAGGGGTGAAGGCTTTCCCGAGGGCGGGCTCCGTACGTGTTCTACGTAATTCGCCGATGTCGTCACGCGGTAGCCGGTCGAGTTTTAGGTAAGCCGTGGGTTTCGCCATTCAACATCGGTTTTGATGTACGAAATTAATTACGCGCCGTACAATGTGGTTCAGTTCCAAATTATCTGAAGGTACAAGTCACGTGAAAGAGTGTTGAACGATGGGTGCTGGGTTGTGCCGCGTGACGCGAATTTCACAATTTCACATTTCATCATCTGCGGAATAATTAAACCGCTAACGGAGTTCAGTTGAAATTGTAAACGCTCTCGGTTTAATCTTTGATTACCATATTGCTTGTGTGCCGGAGCATTTATTGCGATTTTTCAAGGTTGTTACGTGCTTGCAAGGCGGTAAAACATGAAACAACTTGCACGTGTATAATCGTGTTTATGTTCGTTGTGAGTTAACTAATCGCAGAATGGACGATCGCGTGACCAATTCTTATTATTCTTAGCACCGCGTTAAACCGAGAAAGCATAATCGTTTCGTGATACAGTTTCATCAGATTTTTCTTGGCGCGTCTTCTTCACTGCTGACGTTCACGTATGAAGATTTATAAATTACTATGTAATATCTTCATTTATAATATCACTGTTCCCCATTTTAGTCAACGCTTTCTAATTATATATCTCCGGATATATGGCCACTCATCGGGACATGCTATTACCCACAAATAAAGTTCTACATTCTTGTAGCTTCAATATTTTAGGAATAATTTCAAGTATAAGACTGCACTTTCTCAGCAATAGAATTTCAATACACGCTTTAAGTCTATTGCAATTAACTCGTTAATCATAGTTTCTAAGCATGTTATTAACAAGCAGTAAAGATAGTACTATCACATAAGGAAAACGTATACCATTTTTCGATAATTCTAACATTTTCGAAAGGCCATAACAGGTATGGAATTTTAATGTTTTTTATACTATCAGTTTATACTAAACAGCAAGTTAATTATTGGTTCTGCAAAAAGTATTGTGAATACAAATTGTAAGTGTTAGCGTCACTTACAATTGTTTAGCGTTACTCCAATTGCTTCTTTAATTATCTTCATGATTACTGTTGTGCAGTTTAAAAAGAAGAATAAACTAAGACTCGCGGCCATATAACCGGAGAATACTGTGTGCATAATGGAAAACAGTTGGTCGTGCATGGAGTATTGTTTACACTCGTGTATCTACAGCATCAATCGATTTATCGACAATACGGTTTTGGTAGATCTGTGTGTAGCACGTGAATGCAGTGATACAAAGGGAATCCCGAGGATCATTTGGACAGCCCTTTTCAACGATCCTCTTTAATGGATTGGGGCAGAAAGTCAGTAACACACGGGTAACAACGCGTGGTTTATAGAGTTTCTCGATCAATAATCGTACATAGTACACTTCTGCCAGCCGGCGTGCACGCTGTTCGGATTGCGTTCCATTCTGCCGAGTGTGTTGTGTGACATGCCTGCGTGCATGTGCCGTGTCTGACCGTAGGATCGTATTTCGTCGTCCAACGCAATTTCCATTTGCGGCCGAGCAGAAACCGAAGCGAGAATACGGATGTCACGTGGCAGCGTTTATCGTCTTTAGTAGATTTAGACGTACGACGTTAATTAAGAAAATCGTCGCGAGGAATAACGTGCGAAACCAGAGAGGCTGCTCGTTCTTCTATGCCCGATTGATGGCACATAACAAACAGATTTGTTTACGTTTGTCCGGCAGAGATGAATATCCAGAAGCCTGAGGGTCTTTTATCGGTGGTTTTACCAACTGAACTTGCATCCTCCTCGAGTTCGCGGCAGCTGATTATAAATCAAGACCAACAGGTGTGTCGGACACGAATTAACGTATTTAGCTCATTTCATCTTTCGTTCTATTATCCCCTTGCATGTTGTGGTTTTGTTAATGTAATATCTAATAATTTAAGGACTCATACAATTTTAATTTAGTTATAGTTTCTTTAAATCCTTCTCACACTCGCAGCGTGGATTACGTGTGTTCATGTCTAATTGTGGCCTGATTGAAACGTAGAAGTTTTGTGGATTTAACAAACTATTAAAGTTATTTAATCTAATCTAATCTAATAATCATCTTATCTAACGTAACAGGGAATTGTTATTCGTACTGCTTAATAGGATGAAGAAGCGTCGGATTGTCCACTTTTGACTCCCAGTCCTCCGGCGATGGAAGCGAACGACGCCTTGGAATCCGGTGCGATCTTCGTTTCGCTCGAAGGAAATCCCGTGGAATCGATGCCGCCGCCTACGCTCGAGAACATTAATAAAGAGGACGGGCTTACCGAGTTCATGAGCATAGTGAACAGCTCCAGCAGAACGCTGAACGATGGTAAGTCTGTCCCTGTTAACACATCCTCGATTATTCATATGTATTGACGTTCAAAAAAGGAATCCCTGACAAATGAAAACCTGTATTCTCTATTTAAATAAAATGTTTAAGTAAGCAACAATTACTGCAGTGCCTAGCGCTAAGGGTACTGAATAAGATTAGCAACACTGCTTCTTATCAAGCATGGCGAAGCTCGTATAGCTCATAATCCTTGTTGAAAAGCTTACGCAATAGCGTCGCGCCGTAACGTCGATACGCAGGCCTTTTAAATGAGCAATAAAACAGGCCTTAACGAGATCCAGCCTCAATTGAAACTGTTTGAATTAATTTTAACGAACCACGACCGCAGCTGAGAATTATTTCTCGACCCGCGTCCCTTGTTACGAAGATAGCAGTCGTCGATGATGGCTCGGTCTCTTAGCAAACAATCAACAATTGCGAAACTTGCGGAGCGAACTTTTCAATCTCGACACGCAGTCCAAGACGATCGCACGCGATTGTCCATCCTCGTATCAACTGGTATCCTGAGGATCGTTTGTACATTTATTTTCAGAACCGAGTTCGAGGGACCCGATGGTGGAATCGACGACCAGCGGAAGTAGCAGCGACACGAACGGGCCCGTTTGTGCACAATTACTCACGCAGTTGAACACAGCGTATCAACATCTCGCTCCTGATGCCCAAGCATTGGTAAGAGTCCGACTAATAATTCTGTTTTTTAATATTAATTTAATTGCTATCCATATACATATTGGAAGGTAAAGGGACATCATAGTTGTTCATTTTATTTTCATTCGATTATTATTAATTCTTATCCTTCTCCTGGCTGGATACTCTTTGTGTAAAACGTGATATTAAGGAAGCTCTCGTGATGTTCAATGTAAGGAAAGATGAACGTGATGAAATACGACGTCGAGCCAGCGGAAGGTTAATTATATTACCGCAATATATTTGCTGGCTAGCTCTATATACATATACATACATAGTCACAGTTACGCTTTTTGCATATTTATGGATTGCACACTCGTGATAAAACCTGGTGTGCATTCTCTATTAATTGTTCGCATCACGTGCCGTCGTGTTCCCTAATTATAATCGCGTTAAGATTGCTTGACGTATCTCCCTTTTAACATCGAGAATAGCATTTCGTTAACAATGGGACAATCACGTATGCCTATTGTCGCCCGAGCAGGTGTATCGAGTACAGTTCTGTTTGCTCGCTAAGTGCACCGCTTTGTTTTGACCACGGCCGATCACCTGTTCTACCTTTGTTCTAATTGTGTCAAGTTCAATCGGATTTTGCGCGCCTCGTGCTTTTATTTCTGATACGTACCGACGACTGCGTTTGCTCAGCTTGTATCGTGATTAGTCAACTTTTCATTCATCGAACCTTCACTTAAGGTTGTATGAGCAGCAAGAAGCTCTCTGCCAACTGTTTCAGAAATGTGACGATGGGCATCACATCTTTCATGCATAAAATCCTTTCCATTTAAATCAAGAATTATACTATACTATTATTTGCTACTCTGATTTTGATCTTCTTTACATATAATTCTTTTCATATAAATTAAGAATTATATTATATTATATTATTACTCTCCAGTCTTTGATATCTATTTTGCATAAAATATTTTATCTTCTTTTGCAGTATAATCACTTTTTATATTCTCATATTTTTTACTTAAGCACTCCTTGCAACCAATTATATAATCAAAATTCTTTTAAACGTCTATGTTCTAATCCTCTCAATCCTACGTAAAATAATTTACTTAAGCCGTTCATAATAGATTAAACAGTCTAACTCAAAGGGATAGACTGCGATAAGATAGACTGTCAATGTTACCCAGAAAATTAGCCAAAAATATGGGCTTGCGAGAATACACCTTTCATCCTTACATGAGAATATTTCTGGGTCGTCAGGTACCTCTTCAGAAAGGGGAAAGTGAAATCAAGAATAGCGAATCGAAAATAGTGTAGACAGTCGGTTCTACCTATCGCATAAATGATGAAGATTATGTAATTTCTCAGAATACATTGTACGAATATGTTTAACCACTTGCGACGTTCAGCAGTGTTATTAAACAGTCATACGATTATCATAAGAATACAAGAATAATGAATTCGAAGAACTGTTTTCTTGCAGCGTCTCAAACTATTCTGATTTATTTCATTCAAACAAGATTTGATGTATCAATTAATGCAATATTTTGTTCTCATTATGTGCTTGGCACAAACATGGAATACCTTGCCAGACGATAAAACCGTGATGCTATGATACATACATACCTTTCTCGAATCGTATTCAGATTGGATTAATGATTCCTATCAAATAAAAAAGCATGTAAATGCCACTATTTGACGTCTTAATATTCTTCACAAGCTCGTAAAAGCGTTTATTATCTTTGTGCCAGGGTTCAAAATATGTGCGAAGTAAATTATTGATTGCATAAAATTTGGCTCGCGTGAAATACGCATATTATAAGATATTTGAAAGACTTTCGAAATGTCTCAAAGGCAGAATCTCTTTGAAGATGAACAAATTTCAGTTTTAAGCAGATTACTCGCATATTGTATAGAATTTTATATCTTATACGTATTAATAAGTATTTTTCTCGTAAGTGTCGATAGGTAGTAAAATTAATAAATCATCCCAAGAGGGCTTGTGCAACCAGTTAAGACAGTCTCAGCCACGTAGATGCATCCTATTTATAAATTAGTGTTTTGCGTACCCAGAACTTAATGCGGCTACCATTTAAGTCTGCTATCTTCACATCCACACGTGTACTTCGCATCGCTTGTGTTATGCACCAGCAGCAAACCCGAGATATTTCACTAAGAGCACAACGATCAAACAAAGAGATGGCTGTGAGAACTGAAGTCTCAAATTGTTTCCTAATCATGTTTAAAAAAAGTAAAAACGAAGACTACACATAACTTGTTTTTACAATTTGTTGTCATCAAATTTATGCTCCGACAAACTAATACTTCAATAGCCAATTACGCTAATGCTGTCGTTTAAGTGAGCCGAGAACGTGACTGGTACTTCGCTTGAACAGGGGCAGCAGGAAATATGTTTTACATGTCACTAATTGCTTGCCTTGCTTTCTAACATCGTTACGAACTTACACTGTAACTGTTTAGTTTTACAATCAGGAGAACGGCGGCAAGCCACCATTGGTTGGGATTCATTTGATGGTGCCGAAGCCGTCTAAGGATTATCGTTTTATGAAATGGAACTGGCCGCTTATCCGGAAGACTTGCTTCTGGTCCCTGATGTCGTTGTTCGCCGGCTGCGTTGCATTGGTCATCGGCGTTATCGCGACCATGCCGAAAAAGTATGTCCTTTCTCTACATTCGTTTAGGGTAGGTGTAGTATATGTTACGTGATTATGTAAAAAACTTGGCTTACAATATTATAAAGTTACAATAATTAGTCGAAATAAATAAGGTACTGGCGATGAATGATGCAGTGACAACAAATGGTACATCTATCCTATAGGTAGATTATCGGATAATCATTATCCAAGCGAAAGTTAAAGAATATTTTAAAATACTTTGTTCCACGATTACTATCAACAGATGCGATCCTTCGGTCCAGTGGTGGCAGGGCAGCGTTTTCTACGAAATATTCCCAGCATCGTTCCAAGACTCCTCGAAGGGCGGCGACGGGATCGGCGACCTCCGAGGTATCACTATGCGTTTAGACTATCTGAAGAAATTAGGGGTGCGCGGGATCCGGTTGAACTCCATTTTCCCAGCGGCTCACTACCCCGAGTATTATTCAAACATCGAGAATTTGACGGACCTGAATAAGGAATTAGGAACGTTGGACGATTTTGCTACGCTGGTGCGCGAGATCCATCGACGAAACATGAGTTTGATCTTGGATCTCCCACTGTTCCCATTCATAAAAACTCTATACGAAGATAATACGTTCTCCGAAAAACCGAATAGGACAGACAAAGCCGTCCGCGAGAGAAGAGACGTTCCAGATCGACTGGAAGTTGTACCGACACCTTCCACGTCGTTAGAAGCGATTCGAGGAGCGTTGTCCTCGATATCGCCAGCTGTGGACAAGCCTCAGCATCAACCGCTTACTTCGAATCCCGTGGCAGAGAGTCCGATCACGGCAGCTATTAAGATTTGGTTGGAACGAGGAGTCGATGGCTTCTACTTGAAAGGGTTGGAGCATTATGTAGATGAAGTGCCCTTCTCAAGTAGCTTGAAGCATTGGAAGTCGATGTTAGGATCCGAAAGGATATTGATTTGCCACGTGAACGCGTTGAACGCTGCTAAGCCGAACCTCACGGCGTGGAATTCTATCTTGATGAGGATAGATCTTATAGACATCACGTTGCACGTTGCGAACGGTACGAGGGAAATTAAGAGGCAAGTGGAGGACGTTATGCAAGGGGTGTTGTTCGAAAAACCAGGGTACCCTTGGATACACTGGTCTATAGGGAGCGTCGATTCCAAAAGAGTAGCTTCGACTATTAGCGTGAAGAATGCTACCATGGCCACCGCCTTGTTGGGCATGATGCTCCCGGGAACGCCGAGCATATTCTATGGCGATGAGGTATAATATATATATTTATTGCCTTCTTTCCTTTACAGTGTTGGCCACAAGCGATCTTTCAGTTATTACGAAAAAAACACCTGATTGTAAAAAGAATGATAGAAAACAGAAATGACCCCACAGACTTTTCCTTACCCAATACTTTAATAAGTTTGAAATTTAAGCTTCTGGAAGGCTAATTAATAAATATAGATAGGTATCACGGACTGTGAATGCGAGGATCACAAGGACCTGGATCACGTGCACAATCTAGCTCCGATGTATTGGGAGAAAATCGACGGTTCGGACTTCAAATTCGCGTCTATCGGCGTCACGGCCTGGCTTCCGGAAGCTACCAAACCGTTAGACACGAGCCTGCTGGGAACTATCGCTGAAATGGCTGCTCTGAGATCAGAGACAACGCCAATTTATGTTAAATCGGCGTTAAAAGAGAAAAAGATGATAGCGAACTGTGATATTAGGTAAAACACGTGTTTATGTATTTCGTAAACATTTCCTGTAAAAATCGACTCAGGGAACTATCAATGTTCTTATTGTAGATATGCGGATGACGAAATAATTGTAATAGAACGATGGTATCCACGACGGAACTCCTATGTGTTTCTAGCGAATTTGGGTAACAGCACACAATCGAAAGATCTGTCTTTTCTTTATTACGGTGGCCACGTTGTGGTCGGTCCCTCGCACAGAATGAACAAGGACGTGTACTTCAAGGAAGTGGTTGTACCTCCCGGAGAGGCTTTCGTAATAAAGCTTGATAAATAAGGATCCATTGGAAAATCGAGGGTCCGCGCAATATTCACTTTACGTGTATGATCAATAATTTTGCGTCTTTAATTAATATTTTAAACGTGACTTTGTGATACGTTATTCAGGAGATGAGGTAGAAATTGTGAACGTTGTACAACGAATGTTTCGATGAAAGTTCCTATATTTTGGTCGTGAGTCAACCGGGAATCGCAAAAGGATGACACTTTACAGGTTTGTGTGAACCGAACGATTTCGCATACGTATGTAGTTGACATAGACTTGGACGTAGAATCAAAAAGGGTTGCGAGGAGAAGAATCAAATTTTACACTGTTATGTTGTCAGGTAATAATAACAATAATAATGAAGAAGCACAACGAACGATCGCGCGTAATTCACATTCCAAAGACAGACAGATCATTTCACGCATGCCTGTGTTCATTTTAACGATCAAAATCTACGTACGAAGGGCTGCTTCGTTCTATTTTGTATATTGCCTTCTTAATCATTTTGATAACAGAACCAAAGACGATTGTGGCTCAATTGATTGTTCTTAATCACGATATAAATTCAATACGTAAGATCCAACTCTCCATGATCCACCCTCTATACAAGGTGTGGACAGGTGGTACAACCGGGGGTGATACCACATGTAAAAATGAACGAAAGCGACGTAACATTTTTTCGTTTGACTCTTCGTCTTTGAGAAAACTGAGATTAAAAATTATATTCAGTACGCGTGCACTCGACTGTCTCTAATGTTCAGATTTTTTCTTCAACTGTACGATTTTCTATTACTTTTATTCTGTTTCGTCAAAAATGTTACTCTTTTATGTCCGATTTATTCTTATATGCAGATCATCTACTGGGTTGTATCAGCCGTCCAGCCACACCCTGTATGATGTAGTTAGATCATATTACCTTACAGAGTACAAGAAATCTATTCATGTCCTCGGGTGCCATTTTAAATCTCAGATTGAATTTTAAAAAACAAACGAAAGATAGACTAAAAATATTTTTCTATTGAATTTTATCACGTGTTAAGGATGTATTGGCTATACAGTCAATCCCAAAAGTTCATGTACCTTAGAAAACC